TACACACACACACCCTCACACTGTCACACCACCCAGTCTCCTCTCTTTCTTTCCTCTATTCAGCTCCATTTACATCAGGTCATTCACCCACGCTGGCTGGAAGCAGCAGCACCCAGTCCCGCATTGATCCCCTCGGTGCTCCGTTATGAGAATCAAACAGCAGGCCTGGCTCAGACCTCTGGGTCCCGTCTTTAAAGCCCAAACGCTTTCTAAAGACAAACAAACTTCTCCCTGAGCTCAGTACACAAGGCTTTTATGGAGAACTGAAGCTGCCCTTCTTTTCATGCCGAGGAGCCCCCCCCCCCCCACTCCCAATTTCAAAATACAGATTAAAGACAAAGTCATGCGCTGCATATCAAGGGGAGTTTTTAAGCCTTGCTTTTCAGAGGCAGAGAAAGGGGACTATTTTATTTTTTCGCCTCAGCGCAGGGAAGTTTTTTATCTTTATTTGCGAGGGCACAGCTTGAATTAATCATAGTGTTTTGACATAGGAACACCATTGTGCCTGCTGCCAAACTCCACTTGGTATAAGCTGATTAGCCAGGAGCAGTTTCACTCTGCGTTTTAAACTCCAAAATATGTTGTGTGGTTTAAAAAGTTACCCTGTATTATTTTTACTCTTTTATTTTGTAAACTTGTTTTCCCGTAGCTGGCCCATTGAACAGTTACTGCAGTCTCACGCTTGATACAACCGTTGCCTGTTGTCACAAATAAATTCATTCCTGAGGCTGAGAGACCTGGGTAACTGACCAGCTTTTTCTGAGATTTCTGAGTATTTTTCTTTTTCTAGTAGTTGGCATTATTGTTATATTATCCTGCTTGGAACTGAAAGTGTTATTTTGTCACACCATAGTATTATTCTTTCCCATATCTTGACTCTTTGAATTGAGTCTTTAAGGTTTTGTATTCATTGGCTGTAAAGACACCATAGCACTTACAGATGAGGTAAGTGTCACATGTCCTCCAAATGGAAACACATTTTTATTTCTAATCACATTTACGTAATTCCCAACCAGCAGCGAAACAGACTGCTGTGACTTGTGCTGACAAAACTGTTCAATCTGTAAATGACTCATAATTTATGCATTATGTAGATGCACATCGCACGTCATTTGACAGTAATTGTGATCGTTGTGCAGAGTAATCAGCAACTGTGGAGGTGTTCGTCATTGATATTCATATTTTTTGTGTACATCATACTGAGCGGTGAGAAGAAGCGAGACCTTAAATTAAAATGCACCTCTTATGTGCTGTTGAAATGTTAGACTCAGTCACTCTATAACAGGGTTCGTTATGTGCACCAAGGAGAAAAATGTTGAGCAGAATGAAGGTTGAATGAAACTGATTCCTGTTAGAACAAAGAGTGTCCTGATGCTAATGAGGAGTAGTTTGACATTTTGAGAAAGATACTATTAGCTTTCTAGCAGAGAGTGAGATTAAAAGTTTGATACCAGCCTCGTGTCTGTGCATTAACTATGAAGCTGGGGCGTTTAGCATTGCATAAAGAATAGAAGCAAAACCAGATAGCTTTTGTCCACAGTTAAAAAATACAGCTTACTGAGTGAAAAGTTTTATCTCATTTATTTAATCTGTACACAAACAGAACCAACAATGTTTGGTTCTATAACTATTTATAATTGAAACAGCAGCCAGAAGCAGTGACTTCCTGGAGTCTTACCGTCACCATGAAGTTGCCAGGCAACCAGAACACAGCAGTGCTGGGCAGATGGATAAACCGTTGTTTGTCAAGTAACGGTGACACAATGATGTAGTTAACTCACTCTACAATCACAAGTTGGTAAGAAGCGGGCTAGCTGCTTCCCTTTGCTTCCGCTCTTTATGGTGAGCTAAGCTAATTGCCCCTCAACTCCAGCTCTACGAACCATACAGACATTGATGCCATCTATATTCTGATCTAACTCTTGTTTTATTCAAGTGTATTTCCCAAAATGTCAAACTATGCCTGAGCCTCCATTGTGTTCTGGTCAATTGAATCTGCTTTGTTTGGGATGTTTTGTCTCTAGTATGATGGATTGTTTTGCATCAGACTCAGGAAAGACAGACCTTTGCTCTTGGATTTTAAAGTACGCAAGAACTTGACATCAACAATTTATTCTTGATAGCTGTGTGGGCAATCATAAGAGTGAGATCAGTTTGAAGAACTCCTTGATATAGATCACCGTTGATGATGATGATGATAATGATGATGATCTTGTCTCCTCCAGGAAACTATCAGCTCTCACCGACCGTCAACATGCCGCAGGATGACACTGTGATCATAGAGGACGACCGGCCGCCCCTCCTCCCTCCCCACCTCTCTGACCAGTCATCTTCCAGCTCCCACGACGATGTGGCCTTCACCGCTGACATGACGCCGCCGTGGGCCAAAGAGCTGCCCACTCAGAAAGACAAGTGGGAAAAACTTAAGTTCTTTTACCTTCAGTCTGTTAGACGTAATGTCAACACTCAACTGAATTCAGGAGTGGTTCTCTGTAGTAAATGTGTCATTGCTGTTTGAACTGCAGCACCATTTCTGACTTCAACTCTCTGCTTTTGCCTCAAATTAGGTCTTAAACTGTGAACAAAGCTAGAATTCCCTGCATAGCAAGTACATGTTTTTTTTAAATGTCACCCTCTAAAAGCTCTTAAAGTCATTTGAACAAGGTCAGTGTGTCTCCTGTGTTATCAGTTGTGTGTATATGTGTGCGGTGTGTACGTTAAGTGTTCTTTCCTTGATTGCTCTCTGATTGTAAGCAGCGCTCATCGGGGAAGCCCTCTTCCGCACTGACCTCTCAGATTGATGTGAAGGACCCCTGTTCTGACCCAGTGCTGATGAGAGCCTGTTGTTTTTCCCTTTGTCAATATCAGACTGTTCAACAAAGGAATGGTTGTATAGCTGGGATTATCCAATAATCATTTAGTCTATAAAAGATCAGAAAATAATGAAAAATTCCCATCGCTTGTTCTCCAAGGTGACATTTAAGAAGCTAAAATCACAGAACGTTTGTCCTTTGCCTGATAAGTAATCCATATTATTAATGCTCTACCAAAATAGTTGCTTATGATCAGTTAATCAGTGATTGGTTTCAGCACTAGTACAGTGCCTTTCAGTCTCATATCAAAGCATTAGCTCTTATCTGTTTTGTCTTCACAGTGAGGTCAGCTGCAGTAGAGACTAAACTGTTGACCATTGTTCATTTTCATGACTGTAAAACTTCAACAAACCAGGAAGGAGAGATTCTTGTGAAATAGCTAAATGAAAGGCATGGAATTATGAAATCAGGGCCATAGTGTTGGGAATGCTATCAGTGGTGCAAGAGTGTGTATGTCTGTGTGTGTTCTTTCCAGTGATGAGAAAGATGAAGGCTCCAGCTCTCTGATTAATCTTTCTATATAATGACTCCCTGTGAAAATCTGTTTCTCTTTCTCTTTATGTTTAGGCCTGACAGTCATTTTCTCTTTCCACAATCTCTTTTTAATTTCATCATTTGTTTCTTTTTCTTCTTTTCCTTCCCTCATTTCTCTTTTCATATCTCATTTTGTTTCTCTTGTTTAACCCTCCGTCTCCTCCCACTGTCTCCTCTATCTCTTGTTTTTAATTGTCTTCCTTCTTTTGAACCCTTCACCCATCTCCGACTCCATGCCACATTTTCTTTTTTCTTTCTCTTCCTGAAGATCCTGTACTACCTCTATTACTTCTTTTTATTTGAAGTCTTTATATTTCACATAGAAGATGCTAGATGTTCGTTATCAACATGAATTATCTGCTCTTGTCCTTTATCCTTAAGTCCTGTGACACAACTCTCCCTGTGTAGGATCAATAAAGTCAGTCTTATCTCATCTTCAACCCTCTATCCAGCTCCGTGAGTCCAGACGAAAATAATCCGGACGATGCTTTCCAAAGGGAAGGATTCGGACGCCAAAGCATGTCAGAGAAACGCACCAAGCAGTTTGGAGATGCCACTCAGCTCGAGATCATCAAGACACGCAAGTCCAAGAGCATGGATCTAGGTACAGCTTCCAAAACCTCCATGTGCCTTCCCTAATTTGGGATATTCATTTCAGGGATATAAGACATGTTGTCCAAGAGCAGTAAACTGGGATTCAGTCATTGGGATTAAGGTTTCTCAAAGTTAGTTTGTTATATTATATATTGTTAAAGGTAAGCTCTTAAAACTACCATATATTATATATAGATTTGGTTCTGAATATTACTGCCTGAAAAAACATTGACTCCTTGCATCAGCCAGTCCACCATTTAAGGAACTTCACATCACAGATTTAATGGTGCTGTGTTTACCATGCACAGTATATTACGAACATTTTGAGTTTTCCTGTGATGTGAATGTTTCTAAGTCCTAAACATGGAAACATTCCCATTGTTACCTTTGATTGTGCACAATGTATTTGCTCGGGGATGTACACGTGGTAAACCCAGGAGCACAAACCTTCCGAGCCGAGAGGTATAATTCCCTTTTCTTCCCTGCTATAAACTGTATACTGCATTAAGTATTGAAGGCTTTTGTACACATTATAGAGTCCTTTGATAAACTCAGCACACCTCAGTTACTTTAAACTCTACTAAACTAAAACCTTAAGATCTGATTTCATGTAACCTTTAGCACATATCCCTGCACGCCCTCCATGTTTCAAACATGTTCCTTTATATTTAAATGAACTCCACCCTCTTGCCTCTTTGTATGAATACAGACTCTGCATCTCTCGCCAAAGTCAAGAACTTCACTGTGTTGATTCACCTTGAAATGGCTTCGAACAGTCGCTGATTGCTTTGGCTGCAACAGTCTCTCTGCTCGCACTCTCTATAATCATATCTAATCTTCCCGACCAGATTGCCGCTCTGTGCCGTGTTGATATCACAACAAGTCTGATTGCTATCCTCAAACCCTCTTTTCATCCACCCCCCCCCTCCACCTCCTTGTCTCGCATGGCGTCCGATCCTAATTGAGATGAAGCAGTTTGTGATGTTTGCAGCGCTACCTGGATGTTGCATGTGGAATGTCATGAGCACTAACTGAACCCCAAATGTTTGTATCCCTCCCCTCTTTCCTTCCCCTTCCTTTAACAGTAGCCGACGAGATTAACCTCACCCCTCGTCCCGAGATCAACACAGGTAAGGACCGGTGCACTGAAAGGTAGAATGGAAAACTTACCTTCGCCACCATCACCATCACTTTTTCTTCGCAGGGTGCATATCTAAGGCCTGGGACTGAGTGCTATAAGCTGTGTTTGACTTTTACGTTCAATTACAAACCCCCAGCTGATCTGGTTTCTTGAGAAAGTATCACTGTTTTATGATGTTACACCATATGATATTTTAGTATCTGATCACATTCAACACATTATTTTCTGACTTATACACCATAAATCCTTAAATACAAGCTGGTGTTGGTGTAATCTTTTATTTGATGCTAAGCTGCTATCGATCAATTTCACATTTTCGCAAGTCCCACAGCCTTCGTAGTTCCTCCTGCATGCTTCACAACCCGTTCTCATTCTTAGGTTGTCAAACGCAGCAGCGTATAACAAACAGATTGAACGAATTGAAACAGGAACAGAACAGAAAGTAGGATTATTACTAGAATATTAAAGTGCACTTACAGAATTCTTCAATATAGGTCTGTTTGAAGACTATTTGAGAATGTACAGTTCCTTTGTTAAGTGTTTGTTTTTGTGAATAAATGTCAAATTTGCCATTGAGAGAGTCTAAAATTATACTAGTCACATAGTTTCATGAAATCTATTTACATATGGGTATAGGAAACTCAATTTTAACGGTACTTGGTCAAAACCAATGTATAACCCTCGGTCCCAGGTCCTTCACATCATCTCAGATCTACCTTTCCAGTCCATGTTTTCTTTATTTACTCTTTGCATTATAAGATATAAATAGGGTTGGTGTTATTTATTTGATGACACATTCTAAGGCTCCAGGGAACACTTATGGCTGCAGAGGTGAGCCAGAATTAGAAGCGGTTTTAGTGCCAAGAATTACAAATGAACTGCAACCTGTCTCTGTGGCTTTGCAGAACCGATCGATTCATAACTGGTACAAGACCTGACACAAATTGTACAGGAACAACAATGACAGACATTAAATTGCACATATTGATCTACAAATATAAATTCAGTGGCTAACTTGCAGATTATGTTTCTGAGGGTTTATCCACCGCTCCACTCTTTATGCATTTGTGGAGCGTTCCCTGCGTTTGGTGTTTTGCTCGCTCTTGACAAGACAAATTTGTCAGCGCGCAGAGTGAAGACTCTGAGTCCTCGCCACAGTTTGAGGTCGCTGCTGAACATGGTTGTGAAAGCAGTCGGGTGACTACAGATTTGATTTTCTCCCTTTTGCCTCAGATGCAGCTGGCGCACTAATTGTTTTGTGTGTGTGTGTGTGTGTGTGTCAGGAGTTGTACGTGTGTGCGAGGTGAGGGAGAGCAGAAAAAGCACTCTGTCCTTGGTTAAGGCAGCAAGCTGACAGCGAGTCATCCATCATTGTCATGTCTTGTGTATTTTCACTGTCGCCTCGACTGAATAGAAGGCCTGCCTCTGATATCAGCGACTTGGACAAAATGACGGATCCCACTGAAGGAAGATGTGTAGAGAAGGAGAAAGAGAGAGAGCTTTAGAGTTAAAGAAGAAAGTCTTTTTGCAGTTTATGGTAACTTTAAGGTATGACTGCGGCTTAATAATAACGTGTGAAATAAAGTGAGAAAAGTGTGAAAAGAGGATCAAACGAGATGTTGTGGAAAAGCACAAATGAATTCTTTCATCAGTATTTGTTGAAACCTATCAACTGTGTGGGCGACCACGAGATGGAGAGGAGATTTCTGTTCCAACTTCCTGTCACCTTATGATATCATGAGTTGGCAAGGATGAGACTGTGTGTTGCATAAAGTTGCGTGTAAGGTGTATCTGCCAAATGGTGGCAGCAGATGAGTCAGCTGCACTATTGCATTATGTGAGAACAGCTAGGAAAAGTTAAACAACTCAGCATGTCATTGCATCTTCAAACCTAAATGACAAAATAGGTAGGTTGTCAGTGCAATCCAAAATGAGGTTAAGTCAGTTAAGAGACATTGCATGCATCATCATGCTATGCTTCCACTTTTGCTTCTGAGAGAGGATAGTCATATTTTGCAAGACCAAAAGAAAGAAAACACAAAGATTGTTATCGATCTGTTATATGTCGATCCGTTGATATAATGTCAGAAAATAAGGAGCAGTGTTCATTGGTACCAACCAATGTTGTCTTTGAACTGCTGATTTTGTCTTTGTGACAATTAAAAAAACAAAGGCAGTCAGTTTATTATGGTATGAAATAGAGAAACCTACTGGCATTTTTATGGGATAGAGGGTGATTTGAGGAAGAGTTGATGTGGCTGTTAAGGGATACTAATGACTGGACATTATATGGTTCTATCCCTTATTCTTTACATTGAAATTCTGAACTCATCTCATTACACTGGCAGATTTTTATGGCACAGATACTGATTGTAATTATTTTTAATGTAGATATTTAGTGTGAACATTTTAAGAAAAGGAGGTATTTTTCCAGTTTGGAACCTAATACCCATTCAGCTTCCCTAATGTTGTGGGCTAATAGATTTCACCCTGTTTTTTTAAGTGTCTGAGGTTTATTTTCACTTTGTGGGCCCCTGGTGTCACTTTATCAACTTTAAACTTTACTTTACAGTAAGTACAAATGAGCCATGGTCCATTTACCTAAGCCAAAACACAACTAGGCTGCTGAAACCAAAGACTGTGACTGCTGTGAGACGGGACATAGCAGCCCTCGCCTCCTGAGCTGCGATTGGCTGAGAGGTTTATTGACACAGTCCGCCTCCATATGTTAGACGAGGACACTTGAGTGACGGAGCACAATGCAGGATTGTTGGCAGTGTCCAGAACTGCATGCAGAGTTTGTCAGACTGTTTTGAAGCATCATAAATCCCTGTGACAAAGTGTCCCATAAGTAATCCCTGTAAAGTTCACATTACGAGTCCATTTATATTCATTTTGGGAAGTAGGACATATTTCCAGGAGTTAATTATTTGTTATCCCTGTAACAGGATTCAGTGGTATCATGTTGTGGATTAGTGTTGCTCAGTAGGTGGGGAGTGACCCCTTTAAACTGTCAAGCAATGTAGAGACACACGATATTAATATATAATATTACTGACCCAATACACATTTTTAGAAAAACAAAGGATTTTGACCAAAATAAAAAGTTTGGAAATCTGGATGCTGACCATTAAAGCCTGCGCCAATACGGTAATGACTTGTCTTTTCTTTACATCCTGTGGTGTTTGCATCACTTCTGCACACACAAAATGCCTCATTTTGGACAACCAACTTCAGTTAGCCTGCCTTCTCATTACATAGTGCACTGTGTAGGGATGACAGACAGTGAAATCAAATGATTTCCTTTATGCAGACTGAATCAATAACCCTCCTGATGCCAGTTCCAGGGGAGTCTGGTGTCAACACCAATCGTTTCCAGCTGCTACGTGATCGCTCTGTATTTGTTATTGTAAGCTTGTCACTGCTTTACTCAGGATCATGTTTATCTGCAGATGAGTGAGAGCGTCACTCTGTTTCAAACACACTGACACAGATTATTCAGCAGTGACTGACTGGTTGCCAGATTTGAAATAATCCATTTTGCTGTCCTTTCAATTTCTGATGTGAGCTGCGTTGCCAGACCTAATTATTTGCAATTTAGCATGTTGTAGCTCAAAAAAAGAAATAATAAAAATATGAGCTTTTTTTTAAAGTAACAAAGCTCTCTGGCCGGGTAGGTCTGATAGAACCGAACACGTAACAAAAATCTCTTTTCAAGTTTTTCAAGTTGCGACTAATTTCATTTGTCAGATCTCCAACACAGTGTAATTACTCTGAAGTGTGACTGTAGTGAATGGCACTGGGCAAAGTCTTTAAATAAAGTGGGTGTGCAGCGTGAAAAGCCTATCAGCCTGGCTCTCAGTGAGACGTTAAGGGAACAGGACAGGCTGATGAGAATGAATGGGAGGCCGCCAACCCAGTAGCTTGTTCACTCTGCATGTATTCAATTTTCCATTTACTATTTTTTTCCTTCCTGTCTTTATTCTTTTTTCGGTCAGTCTCACTGTAAACAAGAAGCTTGGCAAATTTTTTTTGCTTGTTTTCAGACTTACTCTTTGAAATGATCCTACAGCCCTGGCAGGTCATTTGAATAAATTTCAATATGTTTTTACCCTAATTGACTGTATGAAGATTGTATTTTGTTTCAAGAAAGCCAAGTCCGTTATGCTTAGAATAATAATTGAAATCACACAAAGCAGCCAGTACAGTAAATATAATGTGACTAAAATAGATCTCCCTCAAATCCCTTTAGTCCCTTCTGAAAATGCAAATCTACAAAAAATGGGTCACAAATATATAGTTTCATATTTACAAAAAGGCACACTAATTTCCTAAAAGAGCTGAGCACTGTAGCTTTTAGCTTTCTTCCTTTCCTTTCTTTCTGTCCTGTTGACATTTATTTTTCTGTCTCCTCCTTTAACTCTTAACTTCGTGCCGTTCCTCTCCACCTCCCTATCTCTCTCTCTTTCATTCACTCTCCTCCCTCATGGCCCCACATGTTAATCTGTCAAGCCTTGTGTATTTTGCAGCCTTCTGCTACACTAGCCCTAAAGTGACACCACCCAGGGGATTAGGACTCTTCTATTTACCTCCATACCTCCTCACCTTATCTTCTTACATTTATTTGCCACCGTACACATTCTCAGCTTGTGAGAGGTGCCATATGGGAACAAAAATTATGCCCGAACCACTGTACAAATAGTCTTAGTTTAATTAAACTGTCATGTTTCTCCTATTTTGCTGATGGTTATTTTCATTCTGAGCCTCATCTTGTAATGGAATTTGTAGTCAGTCAGGAGGAATGCTTCACACAAACACACCCACACACACACAAATGCACACAATCGATCAGTTTGCTTCTTGGTGAAACAAACCGTATCCAGGTTTAAATATGGTGTGCTGTTGTCTGATTGCTTATTGGTCCTCTGAGGTTAGGCATGTTCACGTAGAGCAGGTGTTCCTTCTTAAAAAACGGAGCACAGACGCTCCCCGAAGCAATAGTGAAACCAGTAATAAGAATTTTCTTTACCTGTTTGTTGAGGCCAAGGGAGTGACTGTATCAATACTGACACGTAACTGGTTTATATAATGGCTTTAATGTTCACTGGACATTGGTTGTGCCTCGTTTTTGTCGTATTGTTATTTTTATGCAGACTGGTGTGCGTAATTGAAGCGTGGAGTAAACCTTTGAGTGCTTTTATAATGCATCCTCTGAATCATACTTTATAAAGAGAGAGGAAAAATGAAACATTTAAGTAACATTTCAGCACAGTGGAGCAGTCTTCCACTTTTGTTATCATTAGCTATAAATGTCTAGCTTCAATTAAGGGGAAAACATAGGAAACAAACACACTTAACTGCGTGTGCTAATGGCATTGTCAGTGGACATTCACCTTGAAGGGCCACAGTGAGGTTGGCTGGAGCAAATCCCAGAATCCACCACAACTAAAAAAATAAATTACTCAACAGTGGAGACTCTGAGGTCATACTTGGACAGCTTGTGTTTCTGGTCATTTGGAATTGGCAAGAAGTGGCCTGTTGTAAAATATGTGTCACATTGCTTAGTCAGACAAAAAGTCTCTCATCCTCTTAATCCATCTTCTTAAATCATCCTGTTAAGTCATATTGTAACACAACTCTCATGGTAATGTTTGCTTCCCTTGCACTACATCAGCCTTTATCCTTGAGAATGTTTTAACACAGCTTTAATCCAAACCAAGGTCAATGTGTACATATTGATTCTGGACAGATTTTGTTATTTATTACTGCACTAAAAGATGTAAAGGGGGAAAAGTTGTTAAGCTTATGTAAAAAATAGAATAAGGGGTGGAAATGAATCTAAATTGTAGGTTTTTAGTTTGTAATGACAGATAGATTAGGAAATAGATGGTTTGGTGCAGTCTTTCACTTGAATTAAGCGCTCATTATTTCCTCTAAATTTTAGTCAGTGTTACATACTTACGATTCTCTTTTATCCACATCACCCAATCAATAAGATGCTCACTTGTTGAGAAAATGTACATAATTCAAAGTACAAATGGAGCCACTGAAGGCTTCCTACTTACAGCAGTAACTGCTGCACATAGTTTTGCTCCGTCCGAGAGGAAATCAATTGATAAGATTGATTTACCTCCCTTTTCAGCTGTTGAAAGTTGATCAGAAAAGGCCCCTTAGCTGGTTAGCTGAGATTGTTGTAGTTTGTAGGAAAAATGGACTGAAGTTTGTCATCTGATACTACAGTCTGCAGTACTAAAATATGCTGTTGATGGGGACTTTGACAGGACAACCATTGTAGACTTTTGTAGATTTGGTCAACAATTGTTCTTTCATTTCCCTACAGTACATACCTCTGTATCATCCTATCAGGTTCTTCCACAAAGGATGTGGGACCATCACTAGGCTTAAAGAAGTCCAGCTCTCTCGAGAGCCTCCAGACTGCTGTTGCCGAGGTCACCCTCAACGGTGACCTCCCTTTCCACAGGCCACGCCCCCGTATCATCAGGGGGCGGGGCTGCAACGAGAGCTTCCGAGCAGCCATCGACAAATCCTACGACCGACCAGCTGCAACAGAGGAAGACGATGAGGGCATGGAGACATGTAAGACATCCCCCCCCCCCCNNCCCCCCGTTTGTATATCGGCCAATAGTTAAGTTAAGACTGTTCTGTTTTTGAAAAATCACAGGTTTAAACCCACAACGGTCGGAGTATCATATCCGTCAGCGTTTGGGAGTCGTGGCTTGCCCTTCAACAAGAAAAATCCTGGACACTGAAATGTGAAATTGCACAATGATGACTTGTTACTGATATGACACTAAATGACACTAACAAAACAATGGTAATCAATAACAAGGATTGCTATTGAAACCTGGATGTAGCTTCCATACTAATGCATGGGAGTGACAGCATTCTGACTAATGCTCAATATCTGGCAGCTGATTTTATCAGTGCTTGTGGCAATGGCATATCTGTGCCTCAGGATGCAACTATCTACTGCAACACATGTCATCACGCTGTCAATATGAGGCATCTTAAAGAGGATGAGTCAGGAGAAAGTCCCGTGATAAACTAGCAGCTTGTCTGGAAAAAGCCTTCTAGAGACAAGGCAGTACACCACACAACAACATATTCAGAGTCACTCTATCTGTCTTTCTTTGCTTTTCTATATATATCATGCTTCATTTCATAATAATAATAATCTTAACAGGTATAATCTCTAAGAGCAACCTTCAATCAACATCCAGCAATGTGTAAATAAAAGATGACAAAATACAACTCATTCTCATTTGTGATTCTTCTTCCTTTTTATGTGGACATGACTTTTCAAAACACAGATGTTCTTATTCAGGTCTTCTTCCTCCTCTTTTTCTTCATCACTTGAATGTCATGTCCTCATAAAAACTGAATAAGAATTGGGAACGAGAAAGCGGTGTGCTGATACCTTTAATCTTTCAGACCACAAAAGAAACGGTTTTAGGAGTTTTATTCTATAGTCATATGCATTTTAGAGCCAAAATAATCTCACGTCCATCAAATTGCAATTAATGTATTGCATTTCATCATTTTATAAGAGTCTGTGTTTAATGGTCTCTAATGATTACTACTTCATTGTAGAGCAGAGCCCTTCAATCACTTGTAATATGTAATTAAATTGTATTAAGCTCCTTTTGGCACTTAGGAGACATAATTGCACATTTATGAGACTTATACATTTTCATTTATTAGAGTTTCAAATGGGTTACATTTCTACTTCAAATTACCTGCTCGTTGCTTAAAAAGATGTTCTCCATTCTCCCCATGTTCCGTTCTCGGTCCCTCTCCTGTTATGTCTTTCCCTCCGTCCAGTGGAGGAGGACACAGAGGAGAGTTCACGATCAGGGAGAGACTCTGTGTCCACGGTGGCCGACCAGACCCCGCTGTCCGGCTCTGAAAAACCCCTGGTCAACGGCACTAACCGCACTAAAGAGGAGAAGAAGAAAGACAAAGAAAAGGGAGGGAAGGAGAAGAAGAAGCAGGACGGAGGGAAGGACAAGGACAAGGACAAGGGAAAAGCCAAGAAGGGCATGCTGAAAGGACTCGGGGACATGTTCAGGTAAGACTGTCAAAAGAAAATCTTTACCAAACTAGTACTTTAACAGTCATTTATGCCAATTGGTAACAACAGTCTTCTGCCGTAGACCTTTCAGCAAGTCTCCTCAGACTCAGTGCCTTGCTTAAAGGCCTCATGGAATATTGTTACTTTTTCACTTTCTGCAAAAAGAATAGTTTAGGTACTTAAATACGCAATGTGCTACCAGTGTAAGAGGTAAGTACACAATGTGTTCAGAGCTTATCTTGTGTTGTAAGTACATTGTGTGCAGAGATATTTTCATTTAACAGTTTAACTTATTATCTGCTCGTTACACGATGTTAGCACAAAACCTTCCTAAACTAGACATAAATGTGCTCTGAATCAGAGATCAGGCGAGGACAGAAACACTAATTAGACTCCCAGAGAACTTGACCTTTCTGGTTTATTTTCCCATTAATTATTCTTTCTCTGCAGCCTCGAACATTTCACCTGTCAAACAATCCCTTATAGCTAAACCCACTCTCACACACATACACACACATCCCATTAGTGTATTGTCTATACTTTTCCTCCCTTTTCTCCATCCCCATTACCATTGGTGTCGAGGTCATCTGATCTGCCCTCCCTCCGTCTGATTGGTCGGGAAGCCTCTGGGCCCGGCCTGTAATATAGCTGTATATCATATTAGCCAAAGTGGCGGTGACAGGGAAGAGAAAACAGCGACTTGTGTGTGAGAGAGGGAGGTAATGAGGTCCACAGAGATGGAGAGAAAAATAAAAGATGGGGGAGCGGGAGATGCAGTTGGGTGCAGTGGGTAATGAAAGAAAACCAAAAAATATTGTCGGAGGCAGAGAGCGAATGGCAGAGAGTGATAGCGTAAAAAGTTTATTCTTGACCTTGGGAATAGCAGTTTGACAAAGTAATCTCAACTCAAAGTCCACTTACAAGGTCATAGATATTAAAAAGGACAACGGAGCAATCTTTGTGACCACTGAACGCTCCAGCAAAAGCTACAAGAAGTTGAGAAGGTCCATATATATGTACCGGCTTCCTCATAGAAGGCAGTCAGGGCCACACATACACACACACAATAAAGTAATCAGTGGGACGCACATGGACAAATACTTCAAACTCGTACTTGCAACCATAGTTCACACTCATGCACACACTGGAATCATTTTCTCAATGTGCCACTCAGTTTACACACAAATGGCCCCCCCAAAATGTGGTCCCCAGCAAACACACAATGCAGTAATCTTGTGTCCTCTCGTGCACACACACTTCTCCTCCCAGATGATAACAATTGGTGTTCTGTTTGTCAGACCATCAGTGTCTTGGTGCTCTGATTGGCTCGATATTGGCCACATCAGATCTGCTCCATTTAAAACTCTCTGACTGCCTGTTTGATTGGTGCGCAGTGTTTACTGGCAAAGACATCTGGGTGCTCCAAAATAATGACGTGAGATATATTCAACCCATCTGTACGTCTAGTCTGGGTCGTCACATGCTCAACTTAAAGGAAAAAATCACAAAACTGTTATTTCAGGGTAGACGCAGCAGACTTGTGATTCATGTTGGCGTAGGATTGTCTCTTCTGAACACTTGATGTGATGCAGTGAAGGTTTCTGGTTTGTTATGAATGAACAAGACAAAAACCTTGGTTAATTCCCTCCAACTGTTTTTTTGACAAGGTTATAGTTTACTTAAAATTCTTCATAATATCAATTTAACTCCCATTTAGAAGAAATACACAGTTATTCCTCATCTAAAATGTAGTGGCGCTGTCAAAGTCTATTGGTATTAAGAAAGCCACTTCAAGGAAATTGATGGTTGCTTAACCGCATATTCGTTTATGAAATTCAAACAAATTGCATTTTGCATTACTTGCAAAACTTGCAATAAATCATTCAAACCACACTGATGTATTATTAATAGACCTCATATTTCATACATAATACAATTCATTATGCAATACATTTCATGAGATTTACTGAAAACAAAAAGATTATTTCGAGGATTTCTGTACTTAAATCTTGCCTGTAGTCTGTGTTTTTTATATGTACATATTGGGAATATGCACAACTCAGGCACAATTATCTGACAGGGGCCCCTGTGGTTGGGTCCTGCTTTATTACCTTTAATCAGTGATCTTGTGGAGGGCCCCCCTGTGTCAAAATCTTGTTTCAAAATCTTCAGCATTTCAGTTTTCATTTTCTTTTTTTCTTTGTGTCTAATTAAATAGCCAAACAGTAAACCTGGAAACCTGACTAGGAAGTATTCTAGCATAGGAAGTACAGCATAGAGTGTACAACAGGGGGGTTAACATGGCTCCAGGGGGATTACCTTAAAGGAATATTGCCCAAATCTTAACCGACCAAGAACAGAGAAAAGCTGGATTTTATTTTGTCCCATTTCACTAATAAAGACCAAACAAGAAATCACCACATTCAGAAGTTCCAAGCAGAATTAACAGAAAATCCAAACAAAAAAAAAACAAAAAAACATCCTTGTAACACCCACATTGTTTGATTGACAGGTGATATGTGGGAGCTACAGTTTAGCAAACACCCCAGCAGCGAGCACTTATCAATGTTACTAAAAGGAAAAAAAACGTCATCAGAATTTGCATGTTTCACTTGTGTTGGTGTCAACATGTCATGATGAAACAGAATGCAAATGTGTGTGTTATCCCCAAACCGCAGAGGGTGGATCTGTCGAGAACAACTTTACTGACTTTTAAAAGCATATAAAAGCGCGGCCCTATCGCACTACCGAATGTGATGGGAGCAAGTTAGCTCCCCTGAGTGGCTTTACCAAACGTCAAGAGCTCCCGATGAGTGTCGTGTTATTGAGCGAGTGTTTGTTTGTGTTTGTGTGTGTGCGTGTGCGTGTGCGTGTGCGAGAGTGAGTGAAGGCTTTTGTTGCAGCGGCATCAGGGAGTTCGTACTTTGATGCGTGTTTGCATGTAGGAGGGGTATATCAGGAGTGGGAGGCCTGTGGAAGTGTGTGCGTGTGTGTGTGTGTGCGTATGTGTGTGATCAACAGAGCTGCCATTGCCTGACCCTCTCATGTCTCGAAGGCCTCACACTCAGTCCCAATCAAAGCCTCATTACCGTCAACCCCTGCCAACCACACAGCCTGCCAACTCTGTATCCATCTCTCTGTCTATCTCTCTCTCTCTTTCTCCCCCTCTCTCTCCCCCCCTCTCTGTGTCTCTCTATCTCTCT